ATACACTGAAAAGTTGCAGATTTGACCCCTGGTCTGGGCACACACAACGTATAGGAGGCAACCAATTGATGTTTCTCTCTCACATTTATTTTTCTCTCTGTCTCCCTTCCCCTCTCTCTAGAATCAATGGATATATCCTAGGGTGAGGATTAGAAAAAAAAAAGAAATACGTGATCCTTTTTAAGATTTTATTTATTAATTTTTAGTAAAAGGGAAAAGGAGAGAGAAAGAGAGGGAGAGAAATATTGATGTGTGAGAGACATCAATTGGTTGCCTCTCCCACACCCCCAACTGTGGATCTGGCCCATAACACAGGCTTTTGCCCTAACTGTGAATCATGCCTGTAACCTTTTGGTTTGCAGGGTGATGCCCAACCCACTGAGCCACACCAGTTAGGTCATGATCCCCCTCCCCCCCTTTTTTTGCTTCATTCTGCTTTTAATAGTTTAATTCAATCATTGCAAACAGATAATTAGTATGGGTCCCTGTCCAATTGTACCTTAGGGTTTTTAGTTCTTAAGGTGAATATGTCTAGAAGATAAAGTATACAGATCTTTGGGTAAAAAAGGAAGAGATGCATCTGGGGACATGACCTTACCCAATGGCTGGGTCTGTCTAGGGTAATGAATTCAGTTACTTGATCCCAAATCTAACTCCTTTCACCAGTATGTTTTCATGGACTATAGGTGTTACTAAAGAGGATTAAGAGGAGAATCTCATCTATCAACTAAACATGTTCTCTATGATTAGATTAGATATGTTTGAAAATGAAGTGGTACTGTAGATAATACAAGAGTAACTAATGTTTATATTGTATTATCTTTTAGCTATCATTTGCTTGTTATTGTGAATGCACAGACTGTTTTTGTGATTCTTCCACTTGAATTCTTTGATAACTTAAGAACAACAAGAATTTAAAAGACTAGATAGATTTTGTTGGTGAAGGAGAAATCCACTACTTCCTAATGGTATTTGTTTTATGTGGGGAAAGGGACTCTTTTAATATTACATTAAGGTGGGATAGTAAAACTAAAACAAAGCCAGATAACACTGTTACTGAAAAAAATTAGGTTTGTCTGGGAAGCTCATCCTGATCAATTTGATGCCAAGAGGATTTTCTTTACCTGAGTTCCCTACATCTTTGGTTTGGCTCCAGGACACTGACTTATAGTGATTCTGAGTATCCCTCTTACTATTGTACATTGAAAATATAGGATAACATTAAAAAGTTATATCCACTTTCATGATTCAGTGCCTGAAAATAAACCACATCAACCTTTTTAGATTCTTCTTCTAAAGGTGTCCTTATCATAGTACAATTTGTTTCTGGTTCACGGGAGCGACATATAGCAAACTCACTTTTGGTTTAGACTTACATTATGGTCCACATTGGTTGAAAGATTGTGTGATAGGACAGACTAAAACTTCATTCCCAATAGAGGATTTATCTTAGACGTTAATAATGTAGATTAAATAATTTCCTTATAAAAATATTGCATATTCACTCATGTTAAAATTTTGATTCCAGATGAATATTTCCAAATATGTCATCTATAAATATGCTTTAAAATACTGCTCTAATTTCTTCTTCCTTCTCCCAACAAATGCATCATTTATAATTCTTTTCATAGAGATAATCATCTAAAGAGCTTTCTGAAAGGTGGCAAAACTAGAAAGCAAATTAGTTTTATGATTTCAAAGAATGAGCTGACTATTCATTTATTGTAATGTTTTCAGACTACTTTAGAACTCTTAAAGGAAGAATAATGGTCCCATATTTTGCTATAAGGTCTCCTTTATGGACAGAGTAAGCCATCTAATCTTGACAGACTCAATTGTTTTTGATTTTATGCCATGGATATCCATCACAGAAATAGAAGTTGTGATTAATAGCATTTTGTCCACTAACCAAAGCATTTATAATGTATACCTGGAAAATACTCCAAAATGGAGGGTAATGTTAAAGTTTCAAAAAATTTCAATAACTAAAAAATCAGTATCAGTTGAGGGGAGAAAGCTATAAATGTACTTTTAGAAGAGATGGAAAATAAATTTTTAGATTTTTATTAATTTTAAAAAGATAGTGGAAGAAAAAGAAAACCTTTCAGGGAATTGATGGGAAATATTTTTCCTATTTTAAAATGAAAATTATTCCAGGAATTTATTTATCATATAAGTGTTCAAAACATGTAGAAGTTTCTCTTAAATCAAATAGATTATTGTAAATGCTTTATTAGTTAAAAAGAGCCACTCCCATTTATTTTCTGCCATCAAGCTAAAAATTCTAGAATAGTGATGGCAGCAATATAGAGACAGTACTATAGACTTAGAAAAACAATGGTACCCCAAAATTGATTCTATATTTTAGTAATTATAGGTAGTCATCTTTTCTCTCCTCATATATAGAGCCATGACACAAAAGCACACCTGAGAGGTGATGTGCTAAAAATGGTCTTAAAGCAGACCTTCAAACAGGTTAGCTTTTGGGAGTATTCTTGCAAAAATTATCAGCCTAGAAAATTTTCTAGATGGATATATGTGGAAAGGCTAAAGAAAATGGAGCTATTATCGTATAAAGCATATATCATCATTCATTAATTCAATTATGCATTTATTTATTCAGTCAACAAATATTTGAATTTCAGTAACTGGAAAGGCATGGGGGTTAAGTGAGTAAGGAATGAACTCTGCACTCATAGAGCAGAAGAAAGTTAACATTTGTTGAGGGGAAACTATGGTCAGATGCTTTACATCTTATCAACTTTATGAAGTAGATATTTTTACCATTCCTCCTTTTATATCTGGTGAAGCTGAGCCTTACAGGTGTTTAATAGGTTGCTCAAAGTTACACAAATAGTAAGTGGCAGAGTTAGACTTCCAAACTCACTTTGTCTCCAAAGCCCACTACTCTATGGTGCTTGTAATCTAGTCGGAAAGATGGAAACCTACCTGATTACCTGCAATCCAGATAAGAAACTGATAAATCCTACGAGAGAGGTAGGTTTGTGATTGTGAACCAACTGTAGAGGGTAGGTTACACTGAGGGTGGTGTGGGGTATAAGGGAAGGAAGGGAGTGGTAGGAGAAGTCAGCTGGGTCATGATCAGATTGCAAAGGAACTTGAATGCTATGTTGAAGGGTTTGGTCTTGATCCTGCAGAAATGGAGAGCCATGGAAAAAATGACAGTAGGTGAGTGGACTGAGCTGTATCCCCCTCAAATCCCCATGTTGAAGCCCTAACCTCCCAGTGTAACTGTATTTGGAGGTAATAAGGTTAGATGAACTTATCAAGGTGGCACCCTAATATAAGACTAGTGTCCTTATAAGAAGAGAAAAAGATACCATAGTTCTCCTTCTTCCATGTCAGGACACAGGGACAAAGTGGCCATCTACAAGCCAGGCAGAGAGGCTTCATCAGAAACCAACTCTGGTGGCACTTTGATCTCAGACTTCCAGCGTCCAGAACTATGAGAAAATAAAATTGTTTTGTTTAAGCCATTTATTCTGTGGTGTTTTGTTATGGTAGCCTCAACAGACTAATATAGTAGGAGAGCAGCATATTTGGATTTGGGATTTAGGAAGAGAACCAGTGTAGTGTGGAGAATTGCTTTGCATATTCTCTGTCTGGTCAACTCTATACATACTTTGAAACCAGCTCTTTTGAGAAGAGTTCTTGATTTTTTGAAGCTTGATTTATTGACCTTCAATATGTTTCCATAGTGTCATGTGCATACATCTATCATAATAATATATCACAGTTCTTGACTTTAATTGGCTATCTCCCCCACTAAGTTGTAAACTCCTTGAGATCAGGAACCACATCTTATCTTTGTATTCCCAGCATCTAATACAGCACTTGACACAGAGCAGGTTCTCAATAAATACCTGTGGAATTAAACAGTTAATAAGTTTATAGAAGAACCTGAGGCAAAGAAACCAGTTCTAAGACTGCTGATATAATTGTCGATTAGCAGAACATTCACTTGTAACTCATGCCATATTGTCTTATCTGTTTGACAAAAGATAAAAAATCCGATAATAGTTTATCTTTAACCTTTTATTTCTAACCCCTTCCAAAAATGAACTTAAATGAAACTTTAATTCCAAAAGTGCTGAAGAAGTTGATTTATGATGATTTTTGCCTCACTGAAAATTAGGCTCCTTCCCTCCCTTTAAGTCCTAGCAGAAATACACAGCACCTAATACCCTCTTAAGAGAAGAAAATGCTGACTATTTCTAATTACCTAATTTGTTTGGAGGAATCACCAAGAGTCCACAAAGTGAATTAACATAATCAGCAAACTCAAATGCATTGTTCTGTAATTTATGCAGAATTCCCGATAAGTCGTTCAGAGTTTGCCAGTATGTGCTATGATTAAAGATATTTAGGCCAAAGTGAATCCTCTGTCTTTGCCTTTATAGTGCAGGAACAGTCACAGAAATGGAATTTATCCATTAACTAATAAAATATTCTATAAATCACTGCATTAATTGCTGAGTTAAAGGCTGTGGCTGCATCATGAAAAACAAACAAAGGATATTGCCAAAAACAGACATATTCAGTTGATTTCACACCACCAATGTGTTTAATTTTATGAAAATAGTTCCAGATGGCAGACTCATTCCTCCGATCATTTAATTTTGACCTATTAAGATGGTCAATTATATTCAACTTTTCCTGATCTTATAATATTTCTGTTCTTAGAACATTGTGTATGGTTTGGGGCCTTATTGGATGGAAAGTATGTGAATCTATTTTTCTCCATTTCCCTTTAATTCTGTTGTTCCTATATATCCTTGGGTTCTTGCAGAGGCTGAGAACAGCCAAAGTTTAATAGAATTTCTTAATCTTCAATTAAAACTCTAATAAAGGTTTTCCATTTGTTCAAGCAAACATACCAGAAATAGATAATTTTTATATACATATGTTTAAAAAGAATAATTAGGATTATTTAGAAAAGTTTACTGAAAATCAGATGACCTTTTGAAATGTTGGCCTACCTTTTGGAGATACTTTTCTTTCTCCTCAATCTTCAGGGTTTCAGCTATGTCAACTGTAGCCTCTAAAGAAAATAAAGTCAAATTCAATCTGAAATAATTTTATAATGATTTTACAATAATATTTATATAAAACTGCATAAAGATTGAAAGTGTGAAGGTAAACATAAATGCATATTATCTTAAAACTTTATAAACCAGATTTATAGACAATTGGAGATGGAATTAATTAGCTATGGCTACAGGGAACATCTAATCTTAGAAGATAAGTAAGCCTGAGTCCAGAGACAAGAAAAGGTCTCTAAAGAGAACATATTTGCAGTATCAGAGATTCCAATTTCCACATTCCTATTCAACATGTTATGGGAATTTAGACATTTTCCTTCAAATAAATAGGGCAGTTGCTGAAGCAAGGTTTTGGTACGTAATTCAGAAAGTTATGCCGAAGGGTAAAGTTGTGTCCTTATACTTACTATCCATTTTCTGAAGAATCTCTGAATCAGGATGTTGAAAGGCATAAAACTTGGTACTTACTGTTTTTCTCAAGGAAAGAAGATTGCAAGTAATTTTTCTCTAAAAATTACAAAAGAATAGAAATCATTGGGAAACCATAGCATTAAAAGTATTTAAGCTTTTTATACCTATAAAAATTACATAGTAACAGTTTCCATATCTTAGGCCTTACTAAAGTCTTACAGGCCAGGGAACTTGGTTCCTAATGTTGACTCTGCCTTCAACTTTCTCCAGGGATTGCATGTTTGAACTCAATTTTGTAAAGAATTATTTTTAATATCTTTTAAACCAAGATATAACATTTCCCCAGATTATTCCATACTCTTTGGCCCAATAGATGCATTGCTTAAGGGATACTTTGAAATGTACTTTTAGATGTAACAAAGATTTTGAGTAGAAAGATTGCTGAGAAGTTTTAAGATTATTTATATAGGGTTTTACACATTTCAAATGAAAGATTCTTATTTTAAAATTAGGTTTGATAGATAAACAAATAAAGAAGATGTGATACATATATATAATGGGATATTAGCCATAAAAAAGAATGAAATCTTGCAATTTGTGACAACATGCATGGACCTGGAGGGTATTACACTAAGTGAGATAAGTGAGACAAATCAGACAGAGACAAATACCATGTGACTTCACTTACATATAGTCAATAATATTGTAATAAGTATGTAGATGGGTACTAAACTTATGGGAGGAACACTTCATAAGCTATATAAATGTCTACTCGTGATGTTGTACACCTGTAACTAATATAATATTGAATGTCAACTGTAATTGAAAAAATAATTTTAAGAGAATTATGTTTGGTAGTTTCTCTTGGGAAGGGCTCTAGTGTCTTCAGTGTTGGTCATGGTGGAGGCAGAAATGATCAACAGGAGGCAGCTACTCACCAGCTGCACCGCTCTTGGAAACCCCGGCCACCGGCAGACGCTGAGTGCTGCCTCCAGAGAGCACCAACTGGGATTCATTAGGAGGGTACATTGACGCTGTGATCCAAAATTGCTTGGCCAAGTTCATGTCCTGTTCTGAAGAGCCGCTGAACACCAGTAATCCCTGGGGACAAATTTCACAGGCCTCCTTTTCGCTGCTAGAGCTTGCTCCGGGCCTCGTTTCCATGGCGACTCAGGACGCTTCTGCAAACTCCCTTGCCCCTCTAGCAGCCCCGCCCCTCGGCAAACGGTCAAGTTGGCAACTACCGGGCCAGAAGCCCTTAGTTTACTCCGTACACGTTGGGTCCATCGCGCGTTGGTGGGCTCTTTGAAGCCCACTTCTGCGGTGATCACAGGCTTGGAGACCAGCCTTAGCCTTGGAGTCCAGATATGGGAGTCAAAACACCAATTTAGGGGCGTGTCTTGTCTTGCTGGAATCAGTGGGAAAGCCCTTCAGGTCTCCATCACAGTGAGCCTTCTACGTGCCTCCCCCATTCTCCAGCTTCCAACACCCAAAGGATACGAGTAAAGCTTCTGATCTTTACCTCAACGCCCCAATCCCCCATCCACACCGGATTGGCATACCTCAGCACCCCTTAAAGGGAAGTTCTGGGTCTGCTTTGGTTGGAGAATTAAATAAGGCAGTTAGCATCCTATTGGGGAGCCAGAGGTCTGAACTGGACCGATGGGTACTAACGTATATAGTTTTTGTTATTACTGCCCCCACCCCACAGGCCCAATCCTTTAAGACAAAGCTAAGGAAAGAAGCTGGATTTATATTACAACTGCGTTTAGCAGTGGGCCCCACGAAGAGCTGCCTAGACTGCAACAGTGTGAATGATTGAAAGAAGGGGTACATCTGATAAGTGGACTCAATCCTTCCGTGAAAAAATACTTTAAGAAAAATTTTGTTAATGCAGTCTTATAAAAATATTAATTACTTATAAAAACATTAACAAGTGCGTGTGAATAGCTTTCCTGGGAGATTTTATGGCGCTCTAGGAACAATTTAACCATTTTGGCGACAGGGAAGTTGTAATTTCTGTGGCAGGAATTGCGATGATCCTCATAATTTAGGGAATGAACACATGCTAATAACCCACAGTTTATGGTGTTATGGCATTTTATTCTTTCAAAATATTAATTAAGTCTCATAGAATAGATACTTCAAAAGTTGGTGATCACAAGTCTATACAATGACAGAGATCAGGTAAGGGAAAAATCTGATTCCCCAATCTATATGAAATTTTTCTGGATAAGAGTCTGAAGAAATACTGAAAAAGTAGATATAAAAGTACATATATATTACAAAGGTTGTGTGCTTAGCAGCTAATAGGTTGATTTGTTTTAGCTGAGCTATTAATAAATAGGCATCGGTTAATATTAGTGTGTTTCAATTCCGCCTCCCCTAAACACACTGATGTGCACAGGCAGCTCATCTGGATGAATTCTCAAATCTTTTTACCTGGCCGTGTGGTTAGTGATTGGTACTATTAGCAATCAGCTAACTACACTGCCTAGTAACTAGACTCACAAAACAAAAAGTTTGCTTTCGCCACAAACCGAGTGTGAAGTAGGCGCCCCCATACATCGTGATAGGTCGATCGTTGATTCCGCTATAGCTCACGTTAGTTGGTGGGTTTGTGAGTGCCCTACTAAACAATGAAAAGAGGCAAAGTGAATCACAGCTATACAGCATTCAACCTTACACAGGGGGCTCCTCCCCGCTGTTGAAAAGTCTGTATCTTTCCATTAAAGCCGTTAACCGCCCCCCCCATATTTCGCTTTCCTTAACACGGGATTGCACAATCTTGCTTTAGCTCCTAGAGCGGGGCGCAGTTTGAGTGTGTCTGGAAGCAGCCGCACGCCGGAATGCCCCGGGGCTGACTCGCGCTCCGACCGCACGCCGGCGGGGCTGCGCCGGGCCCCCGACGCCTCGGGCCTCGAAGCGCAGCGTTCGGCTCTCCAACGCTCCAGGTGGGCCGTTTGCCGCCCAGGGCGTCGTCCTCTTCCCGGAGGGGCGGCGGGTGAGGCCGTGCCTTGTTTTGATGGCAGTGGAGTTAGTGATTGCAAGTACTAGAGTACAATCAGCTAATTACACTGCCTACAAACCGAGCACCGGGTGCCCGCGGGCCGCAGCTCCCGGACGGACGGTGCGCAGAGCCGGTGCGCTGTCCTCGGCCGGCGGGCGGGGTAGGGGGACCCGCCTCAACCGCACGCTTCACCCGGGATGACGCCCACGGAGCCCGGGCTTGGTGCCCAGGGAGAGGGTCTCCGGAGGACTGCACCGGACCCACCGAGGACCCTCGCCCGGCCCGCAGGACTCGCCGCGAACCCTCGGCGTGGCTCGGCCAGGCCGGCGGGCGGCGCCCCAAGGGGGTCTGCAGCCCCCGGGCCCGGCCCCCCGGACCCCGGACCCCAGCGGGTTCCCCGGAGCTCCCGCCCGCTGGCTTCACCTCTGCCGCGGAGCCCCGGCTTCTGGCCTCCGCTGCCCGGCAGCCTCCCGCACCCCCAAGCGCGCCCCCCCCCCACCCCCTTCAGGTTCCCTTCCCTTTTCCTCTCCCCTGAGCTTTCAGGGGCCCGTTCCCACCTCCCTCACTCCCAGGCGGGCCGCCCCACACTACTTCTCTGCAGTTCCCAGCCCAAACCCTACGGCCGGCTCTCTCAACCGCGTGCGCCCCGCAACTCCGAGCGGCCGAGTGACCGTGACCGCAGCGAGCCAACCGCCCTTGGAACCCCGCGGGAAGAGGGGTGGGGCGGGCGCGAGCTAGGCTCGGGGGAGGGGCGGGGGGAGGGAAGGAAGCCAAGAGAAGGGGCGGGGGGTGGGGGCAGGCCCCAGTTGGGACCCAGGCACGAATTCTCAAACTGTTTCTCTACCTGATCTGACAGGAGGGACAAAGAGCTCCTCCTCCGTCACCCTCCCCAAGGGCCCCACAAGCCAACTTTTCATGCCCATCCCCATTAGGGAAGACAGCTCGCCAGGCACCAAATGTAGGCTGAATTTTCCAGATGCAGATAGGCCTGGATACCCCGTGACCTGCGGAGAGGTGACTTTGAGAGTTTCATCTGCACTCCTTCGTTCTCCTTACACTCTTGGAGGGCCAGGTGGTGAAGTGGGAGTCAAATCGTGAGCCAGCCAGCTTGTCAGTTGGATCCAAGCGTGGCCCTCATGAGACCAAGGCCACAGTTCTGTACGTTCAAGGGCTGCTTTAAGCAAACTCTTCCTACTTCCAGCTCATATTTATTTAAAAACCAGCTATGTGTTCAGTACCTAAGGTCATTCATTCCACCCTCCATATGTACAATCTAGGTGATAACAAAAACGGAATACATTATTTACCATTCGAGACGGTGTACAATAAATTACTGAGCAGGGTAGAGACAAAAATGGGTAGGATGGGACACTGAGAATTATAATTGGCCAAAGAAGGTTCATGGAACAGGTGACACCGAGGAGGTCCTTGAAGCAAGACTAAATTTGGACATTCAGGGTGAAGGCTGTGAAGGACGGAGGAACAATGTGCTGTGACCAGGTCCATTTTCTTTCTCACTATTTCATGTTCGATGACGTAGATGTGTTTCTATTTGTGTACGCGGAGTAGATTCGGCAAAGAGGACAGCTGCAGAGGATTTCTGGGAGACCTCTACTAATAATTGTTTCCTTTAGTTACTCCTTCCCCCTTTTGCTCCAAGGAATGAATCAGAAGAGGATAAAGAATATACACTTCGTGGAACTCATTTGGGAGTAGCTCCCGCTACCCCTGCCTGCCTCCATATAGTCTTCATGAACCCAGTACAGTACACTCATTGTTGACCCTGAAAGCTTAGTCGCAAATTATTTTCCACAAAAGAAAGCTTCCCAGCTATAGGCTGATTCCCTAAACCTGGCAAATGGTCTTGCAGATGCCACTAGTAACACAGATGGGGCAGGTAACCTAGATCATTCAACACAAATTCCATATTCACACTATTTAGACACCAGAACAACTTTCTAAGGATAAGTTTGAGTAAGTTATAGCATTACCTTTGAATATGAAAGCATATACTTTGCCAAATCCATCATTTGTTCTGTGAGCAACAAAATGAAGAGTAAGAAACCCAAGTGAAGTATAAAATGTATAGTACAGAAAACATTAATGTAAAAATTAACCTGTAAAGTTAAGTTGCAAAAGACAGTTCATTTATGACTAACTATAATTTCTATTCATTTTTGGGAGAGGCACAATATTGTAGAACACATTACATAAATTCCCTATACTCCTTTAAAATGTACAATAAACCAAGCCATACCAGGCAACATGCTGAAATCAGAGCTAATTAACCTCTGATCTCTTTTGAGATAACTGTAGAGCCAATTTTGTATTTTATAGTTAAATATACATACATGAATAAAATCAGGAGCAAAATATTTTCCATTCATTAGCAATATGTTAACTTGTAAGTCTTGATTAGGGCATAGTTACAAAAATAATTCTGTTCTATTAAATTGTTTGTCATTTTTACTCTATACAAGATTTTAATATTTCTCCTTGATTGATGTTTTATGATTATCAGTTTGGATCTTGCATGTCTTCCCTGAGTTGGATTTCTTCCCATGAAGACTGCAGTAGATGCCTTGAAATTTAGATTTTTAAAACTTTTCTCAGACCCTGGCTGGGTAGCTGAGTCAGTTAGAGCATTGTCCTGATACACCAAGATTGTGGATTTGATCCCTGGTCAGAGCACATACAAAAAGCAACCAATGAAAGCATAAATAAGTGGAACAACAAATTCATGTTTCTGTCTCTCTAAAATCAATTTTAAAAACTCTTTTTCAAATATAATAAAAATAAAGAAAACAGATATAAAAGTCACCAAGAGCATTGCCTACTGAAATAATTTTTTTTAAATGCAGTTTATTTTGTAGGTAGTACAACTAAAAAAAAATGAAATAATGAGGAAAAAAAATGTATGTGGCCTAGTTTTGTGGGGATTTTTTTGTTTGTTTGTCTTGTTTTTTAGAATGCTTGTTCTTAGGGTTGCTATTGATTTGGCCTGCAGTTACTAGAGAAACCCCAAGGATCTCATTTGCTTTACGGTTCATGTCTAGGCATGCCTGGAGACCAGGGAGACCCATGGTTTAATCTAAGTAAGAATGCTTGTGGTGTGTAAAATGCCCAAACAGAAGACTATGTTTGTTTTAGACAGCACCAGGAAGGCACCTTTCAGGGGAATTATTTACTGTTTAATTTCTGAGCTTTTGATGAATAGGGAGATAGGGATGGAGCCCCAAGGAAAGGGGTTAGTGATTAGAAGGAAACCAAGAAGAGTATAGAAAACAAACACCTTTTGGGTGAGCTTTGTCAAATTTATATTGGCTAAATTTACCATTTCTGAATAAAAGACTAGAATTGATGGGAACTGGGAATTAGAAAAGATGGAGACAATTTACTCCTTTTAACACACATAAATACACCATCTGAACTTTTCCTATTTTCCACAGCTTTTGAAGCATGTTGTTAGGGAGGAAGAAATGAAGAATCAGGCTGATTAGAAATTATTGGAGTTTATCAGCTTCTTTTTAAACTCTTTTCTTTAAATGCATATTTTCTCTTAGGAAATATACAATCATGTCTTGATTTTTATATAAATCAATACATGTCATTATTAACATTCATGATACTACATTTAGGAACTAGTTTATGTGATGAAATAAGACAAGACTGCAGTCAGCTCAGTGCCTTTGAAGAACCAGACATCATTGAATCTGCTTAATTATGAGAGATTTTCCTTCTAGCTAAATGAACTGCCAGCAGTTTTTATGCTTCTGATTCCATGTCATTGTACTCTCATTTGCAAGAGTGCATCAGATTCTTAATTAGCTTCTTGTATATATTTATTGATTGATCAATAGCATTGCTTTCAATATGAAAATGTTAAAATAATCTTTTAGTAAATAAAAACCAATCTAAAAATAAGCTTTATAATTAAGGTTGCTTGAGCTCTTAGTAGTAGGAGTAAACATGTTGCATATTTACCATCTTCAGAGAATAGAGTCTAGGGATTTGTGGTCTAGTTGGAGTCACACACAATTTGTAGGTTTGGATAACTGAGATTGTTATTGTATAGTCATCCCTTGGTATGCCCAGAGGACTGTTTTTAGGACCCCTGACAGATACCAGAATCTGCAAATGCTCAAGGTCCTTATGTATAGTATTTGTATATGACCTACATACATTTTCCTGTATACTTTAAATTATCTCTAGATTACTTATAATACCTAATATACCATAAGTGTTATGTAAGTAGTTGTTATACTGTATTGTGTAGGGAATAATGACAAGATAAAAGAAATCTGTACATATTCAGTATAGACACAACCATCCTAAGTACACTTCTGCAACAATGTAACATTTTTTTGAATATTTTTGATCCATGGTTGGTTGAATCTGAGGTTGTAGAACTCACAGATATGGAGGGCTGACTATGTTAATTATATTAGTATATACAATATAATACTTTAGATATTATTTATATTTATATTACATATAATTATGTTAAGTACCAAAGTGGCACTTAATTATGATGTGCTTAGGTATGTTGAGTTTTAGGTAATGGAAGGACAGTGTGGTGGAATTAAGTATGCGGAGCTGGAACTCTGAAAAGAGACCAGATCTGAAAAGAGAGATTTCACAGTTTTCTTAAGGTATAATAGTTGAAGTTGTGAGGACAAGAGAGCCATGTTGTCTTAATTGATCCTCCAGTACCTGCTATGTTTCACTCAGGACAGAGAAGAAGACTAACAGCAATGTGTTGTTCTTACAGAAGAGGGAATAGAATGGTAACAGCAGAAGGCTCACGACCAACTTTGAGAGCATCCATCTCCTATTCAGGTGCTGGCAAGAGGAAGTAAATTTTGAGAAGGATTATTAGTCCACAAGAAGGAGCAGAAGAGAGGACACTCATTTAAGCATCACTCTGTATCTACTTATTCTTGT